CTTAAAGATGAGGAGCCAGTCAATCGCACTTATTTGTCTGTGCCAAAACCCCTGTATCGTGAAATGAAAGAATATGTGCATGACCTCATCGCACAGGGATGGATTGAAAAATCCAACTCATCATATTCATCTCCAATCGTGTGCGTAAGAAAGAAAGATGGCAGCCTTCGTTTATGCATTGACTATAGAGACCTAAATCGAAAGACTCACCCAGATAGACAACCGATTCCGAGAGTGCAGGACATCATGGACAGCCTAGGTGGCAATTCTTGGTTTTCATCATTAGATCAAGGGAAGGCCTACCACCAGGGTTCATGTCCAGAGAAAGTAAGCACCTAACGGCTTTCACGACACCCTGGGGTCTATATGAATGGGTGCAAATTCCTTTTGGGTTGATGAATGCTCCAGCAGCCTTCCAGCGGTGTATGGAAGAGTGCTTAGAAGGCCTGCGAGACGAGATATGCATACCATACCTTGATGACACCTTGGTGTTTAATAAGACCTTTGAGGACCACGTCCAGGTAAGGAAGGTGCTGCAACGGCTTAAGGAACATGGCATCAAACTCAAGCCAAAAAAGTGTGAGCTTTTCAAACCGGAAGTCCGTTACCTGGGTAGAATCGTTTCTGTGGAAGGAAGTAAAGTTGATCCTGCAGACACAGAAGCTGTCAGATCCCTTAAAGACAAACCACCCAACAATGTTGGTGAGTTGAGAAGAATTCTTATATTATCAGAAAATTCTAAATATCAGAAAATCGGCTGAATGGATTTGAAAACGGTAAAACTCAACTGTTTAAGTCTGGGGGAGTGGTAAAATTAGCCTATTTCCAAAAAAGTGGAGTATTTAAGGAGTTATGAAATTAAGAAAATGGGTCCATACCTTTAATATAAATTATGAGCGTCAGCTGGTCCATTCAGAAAAAAAGACTCTGTGCTGTCATCATGACAGCGATTCACAAAACAACATCCCTCAGAGCTTTAGCTCAAAACTGTGCAGACTTTGAGAAATATTGATAGATTCTCATAGATTCACATCATATTTCTATAGACAGGAATAATATTTATTGAATTTATATTAAAATGTGTCGATGTAATCATTATGAGCGCTTCTTCCTGAGATGTGCTGTGTTTTAAATTCATACCAATAGCTTGTTTTCATATGACGTCACGCCACTGCGTTGCCATGGCGCGAAATGCAAATGGAGGGCAGGAAGTGATTTGCTGTATTTAGAAAGCACTATAACAAACTTAAAATGCCTGTGTTTTGAGTCATTTATGGTTACTTAAATCTATCAAACCACAAGGAGTTTTTATCGTATACCAAAAGTTGTTGTTCATAAGGGGGGAAATGTTAGAAATTGACCAAAAAACTCTGGAAAAACGGCTTGCAAACCTATGTCTGTGGTTAGGAGGAGCCGAAGGGGAAAATGCCCGTGTGTGAAGTGATCATTTCGTCAAAGGTGAGTTAATACAACTTAAGTGGCTAATGTTTGTTTAACGTGTCAAAGTATGTCTGCAAGACGAGGTAGTTGCTGATATCTACAGCCTCCATGGCAGGAAAATATTTCAGTTTAGTTGAAAAATCGCTCCTCTTCATAACGTAGGGATCACGTCTGACATATGTTTGAATTTTTGTTTATTTCTTTCTCTTGTAATAGTGTGTAAAGTAGTACAGTACGTACTTCCCTCCATCTCGTCCATTGCGCTCTTCACTCCCTGCCCTCTATCTGAATTTTGCGCGTCATCATAATCACGTGACTGAAACCCACCCAGATAGCAAACTGACATTGAATCAACGTGGAAATATGACATCAAAACAACGCTGATCTGACATTGTTTTGCTCATCGAATTAACGTTGAACCAACGTCAGACGCGTCATTCTTTCAAAACTAACGGAAAATCAACTTGAAATCAACGCGTTGTTTCAACGTTATGAAAGCAAACCAATTTTCGATTTTTATTTAGCTTTGAAGAATGCCGCGTCTGACGTTGGTTCAACGTTAATTCGATGAGCAAAATCAACGTTGTTTCAATGTCACGAGAGACGTTGTTTCCACGTTGATTCAATGTCAGTTTGCTGTCTGGGCAGCTATAGCCTGAGGGCGCTCTCTGCACAGAATATTCCATATATGGAACATGAAGAGTCATAACCATGTGACATTCTTGGAACTGCCTCATGAACTGCCTGACATAAGCTAACAGAGATCCCTGTAACATGCAAATAAAAGTGTTTTGAAGACAATAAACATGATTGCAATGATATTTGAGTTACCTTTGCTCTTCAAGCTATGCCAGGTATTTTCATAATAATAGATTATATTTATAATGTAATGCTAATCGATACAGATTTTTTCATTATGCAAAATACAATAAATAATATATTTTCTGTCTGATTTTTATTTTTTTTATCTGAAGCCAAAGTAGAAATTGTTGTGTATTGATGGTGTGCTAAGCTAACATGCTAGCAGGTGCACCTGCCACCAGAAGTTATTCTTTTATGATTTTTTATTTTTCTAAATAGGAATGCTTACTGAAATTTTTCAGTGCATTTTATAGTTTCAAATGTGATGCTATGAGCACTTTGATAAAATAAATCAGGGTTTGAAACCCTATGAACAGCTTGTGAATAGCCAGTCGTTAGTAGCTATAATGCAGACTAAAAAATGCATATTTATAGCCATGTCCAGTCTGGAGAGGTGTGAATGTGTGCATGGGGAGACTGAGACTGAATGGGGCTTGTTTGCACTACAAAACAATAAAGACAATAGACTGAATAGATGACTTAGAAGATGACTAAACATCAGTTTGCATTTTAGAGTCTAAGCAAAATAAAGTAATGTGACATGATTTGCTGTTATCTCGGGACAAGCGTCCCGAGATAACAGCAAATCATGTCACATTACTTTGGCGTTCGTCAGGTCCAGTTTTGTATTCAGCCTCTCACAGGGATTTCAGATGCCCCAACGCCTGTGATGAGAAGACCAACGCCTGTGAAGAGACGACGAAGAGATTAGAAAATAAATTTCTAATGGCTTTACAAAACTTTGAAGCTATTTAAAAAAAGTTTTTCATTATGATAATAATTAATTCTACATTTACAATAAACTACCAGGTGTCAGCTTTCAAATGAGATCATACTTGTGCTTTTAGTCCAAAGGGTTCATGAACTGCATCAACACAATTCTGAAGAAAAGCTATTTTGTTTTCTAATTTTATCATCTTGACTTGTCAGTACATGTATAGTTTCTAAGAAAACTTGTGCCAAGGCCTTTCACTTTTAGTCAGCTCTCATCATCCTGGGTTTAAGATGCTGTTCAACAGATAGAACATCTTTCAAGGCGCATCTTTCAATCCTTCAATGTGCAGGCTTCAACAGTTTAAACTTAACAACAACTGAAGGGAGAAAAGGGGGGCAGAGATGATAACTAGATAGATACGCTTGAGGGAGGCAGGTGGACTTTAGAAACTTCCTCAAGTTTAGTTCTACCAGCACATTGGTCTCTTTTATAGAGAGCAATGCTGCAAAGAGAATGGTCGATGTCGTGCTCGTAAAGTGTGAAGACATGAAAAGCAGGAGGAGGAATATTGCATTCCAATAATGACACACGGCTGCCTCCACCTCATGCGATCAATGGCTGCTGAGCGGTCCGCTGCTCCCCAGAGCCGACCAAGGGCTTCCATTGTTGAGGAGAAAGTAGATAGGTGACAGGGGCCAAGAGGAGCGCTGGGATCAGGCCTCACACCTGCCTGATAGACCGCAGATGCTAGGCCAGTCTTTATTGCTTCACAATCTGCTTTATTTAAACTAAATCTGGACTCTTTGTTAATGCATCCTAATGAGAGGTAAGACTGGGTGTAATTGGAAGCCTCTAGAGTGTCCTGCTGAGGTAAAGTTATGTGTATGTGTGTGTGTGTGTGTGTGTGTGTGTGTGAGAGAGAGATATGCTGCGTCCCAATTCGCATACTATCCGTCCTAAATAGTATTCGAAAATAGAATTAGTACGTCCCAAATCATAGTATGTTGAAATTAGTGTTTCAAAGATACCCGGATGGTCTACTTTTTCCGGCCAGAATCCGAAGTGTAGATCGATGCACACTCTAACGGCTGATATTGCCCACAAACCATTGCGCGTTGGACGAGGATTCGGTTAGAACTACAAACACGAGTAAAAAGTGTTAAAAAAACTACAGACACGTAGTTGATACGGAGGACGCGCGAGTCCCCGTGGTTGTGTAGAGAGGTTTAGATAAAGAGCTTTGAGTGATTCATTATCAGTATCTAACCTGACGAAAATGAATTTATTCAATGTTGTCCACATTATATTGCATTTGCAGCAGCATTGTGAACTTTTGTAAAGACACGTTTAGCCATTACGTTTTAAATGCATCATTATATTCAAATTGCAAACACGAGTAGAGCATGAAAGACCAACAACTGGCAGATGAACGTGCTCTCCGAAGCGGTAGGAAATAAAATTAGATAGAATGGAGGATTTTAACTGTGACAAGATGATTGACAGGGCAGTTTACGGTGACAAGCTGCACGCAGCACGCGACAGAGCTGTCCGTTAAAGATGACATGATAGTATGTCCCAAAGCTTGCCCACTCTTTTGCTACACACTCAAAAGTATGTACTTTTTCCTCACAAAAAGAGTACATACTTTTAGGGCGTAGTATAAGTAAGCGAAATGGGACGCAGCAATAATCTCTGAGAGATTTCCTTACACACTCCAAATCAGTTCCTTTTCTGAAGCTGCATGAAAAGAGAACATTTATTGACAGTGGTGGTTTAATGCTCTTGAAGAGAATAACATTAGCATTATGTGCATCCAGTTTTAGCTGAATGAGTAGTAGATTTAGAATTTACTGCATTAGCAACTGTTGCTAATTACCGCAATACGTGAGTTGAAAAGTGTTATAATATTGAAAAGTTGCATTCTAGTGAAGTTTTTTTTTATTATTATTATTTCAGTTTTAGTTACCTTATTATATCAAGTGTACCGCAGAGTTTAGATTTTAATGAACTTACAAAAACACATATGAATTTATATGCATGTACACATTCAAGAAGGACCAGAGAACCCAAGACTCGGAAGGGGAGAAAGAATGCACACGCAATGCCTGCTCAGCGAATCTTAAAAGAGGAACTAAGAGTCGCATGACTATTGTGTTGCAAGTGTATCCGTTACTATTGTGTTGCAAGTGTATGGAAAAACCCAGATGGTCTGAGAGATTGTGTCACACAGCCAGTATAAATAAGGCTGCGTTTTCAGTGTTAGTTGTTGCATCTTGCTAGAAGATTTTTGCGTGCATCCCTGAAGGTAATCATTCTTCAGTCCAGCTTGCTGGAACATATATTGCTTTAACTGCTTAGCTGTATGATGTTAACTTAACCTGCTCATAGAAGGACAAGGTTAGTTATTCATTTAATACTTGAACTGTGTATGTTAAGAAAAACTTTGTGACTGAACCACTTATACAGGACTGACCTGTTAAGTTGGGAGAAACTGAGGTATTATAATCTGTAACCTTTTCTTTTGTTGCTACTATTAACAATCATTGTGTAACCAGTGTTATTATCGTTTGTATAAATAAATTTTCATTTTATAAAGATAAAAGTTGAATAGTTCTTTGCCTCGGGTCACAATACCAGTTCTATAAGCAATAGTAAGAGCATTAAAGCTACCCTTGCGAGAGCAAGAGGTCACCAGGACTCCACGGAAGCATCTCCACGGAGGGTGAGTATGAATTGCATTGATGGTTGTTGCTAGTAATACTGTATTGGTTCACATGAGTGTAGGGATACACCTAGATTCACTGGTATAGGTTAAATGAGCTATAGGGAACGTTTATCCAGAAATTCTGACCTGACAGCAAAAGGCACCTGGCCACTTCGATACCAGGCGCTCTTCAGGGCTGAGGTAATACCAGATCTCACCACATGGGGGCTCGTCCGGGATTTATTATTATTAATTTAATAATTTGAATCCGAGTGAACAATAATTATTAAAACACCATCAAAATCCGCTAAACAGTGTCTCCAGAGTTGAAGGAGAGGGTTACAGAGAGTAACTGTGTCTCCTTAGTGCAAAGAGGAAGTTACTGAGAGGGTGCTTCCTCGTATTAACTGTAAAAAATCTTCAGGGACGCCTGAGAGATAAATTATATGGTTAAGCACTAAACGGGGTAATTGATCCAGAGGACTGCGCAGAGGGACCACACGAGTACCCAATATATATAACCTCGAAGAAGGATAATTACCAGAACTCTCGAAAGGCAGACACACAGTCATGGACAAGATAACTCATATTGCTTTACTCCCACCAGATAAATTTAGCAAGCGCTTGAAAGACGCAGGGCTAAAAGACACTGAGGAGCTCATAGCTACTGAGTGTACTTTGTATACACCTACCGTTGACGGATTAAAAAGATTAGTCCAAACCGTCGGTGAACAAACTCGAAGTGACAAGATCACTGTAGAAGTAGGGGACCATGATGTCTCCCTACCGATAGTTCCAGGTAAAGAGATACAGGTAACTAGAGGCGGGATCCCAGACCAAAGAGCTAGAGGCTCCACTGGATCTCCGTCCCTCTCAGTACATACTGACAGGGAGGAAACAGCCGAGTGCGTTTACAACCGCCTAGATAAGGCAGAAGCACAAGCAGCGACAGAGTCAGGGGCAATTGTAAAACATACGAACTTTATCACCGGTTTCTCTCCCTCAAAATGGGAAGAAGAAACATGGGAAAGGAAAAAATCGTCTCGGGTTATGACTATAACCCTTGTTCCCTGAGAAGGGAACGAGACACTGCGTCGATAAAATCGACTCTTTGGGGACGCTCCCTAAGCGTGCGCCTCTGAAGTATGAATGAAACTAATCCAATCCTGATTGGTGTTGCGTCGTGACGTAACATGTGACGGCATACCCGGAAGTATAAAAGTGACGCTGTCACAACACACACTAGCCTCGCGATGAAGCAAGACGCTCAAGGGTCTGAAAAGGGGGCGTGGCAACACGACGCAGTGTCTCGTTCCCTTCTCAGGGAACAAGGGTTATAGTCATAACCCGAGACGTTCCCTATCGAGGGAACTCAACACTGCGTCGATAAAATCGACTCTTTGGGGAAAGAGTACCCACTAGGCCACGCACCGAACAGACCCGCCCCAGAGTGAAACTGATTAGGCACTCAGCAAGGGCCGAGTACGTGTGCGCCGGGCGTACTGGGAAGGCTGAGACTGTAAAACCTGATGAAAGTATGCGGGGTAGCCCAGCCGGCTGCCTCACAAATCTCCTGCAGAGGTACTCCCGACAGAAGGGCCCTAGAGGAAGCCATGCCTCTAGTCGAGTGAGCCCTTAAGGCCAAAGGTGAAGGAACCCCACGCACCTTGTAAGCCTCAGTAATAGCCTGGACAATCCAGTTACTTATAGTTTGTTTGGTCGCTGGGAGCCCCCTCTTAGGTGACCCAAAGCATACTAACAACTGGTCAGATCTTCTCCAAGAAGCAGACTTTTCCAAGTATACACTCAAAGCTCTGACGGGGCAGAGCAAGTGAAGCCTCTCTTCTCCCGCCGACACATGAGGTGGAGGATGGAATGCCTGAAGGACTACAGAGCGAGCCGTACTCGAAGGAACTTTAGGCACGTAGCCCGGACTCGGGTGCAAAAAGGCCTTTACTTTGCCAGGGGCAAACTCCAAGCAAGCTGGCGTTACCGCCAGGGCCTGGAGATCTCCCACCCTCTTAAGAGAGGTAATCGCTAAGAGAAAGACCATTTTCAACGTTAAGTCCTTAGGCGAAGCCGACTCTAAAGGTTCGAAGGGAGCGAGGGACAACCCTTCCAGAACTATTGCCAGATCCCAGGCAGGCACCCTGGACCTGATCGCCGGCCTCATCCTCCAAGCACCACGGAGAAACCTAATGACCAACTGGTGCCTCCCCAGAGGTCCACCATCTACTGGCGCGTGGAAAGCCGAAACGGCAGCCACGTACACCTTAAGAGTGGACGGGGAGAGACCCGCAGAGAAACGATCCTGAAGGAATTCCAGAACTGAAGCCACTGGGCAGTTTACTGGATCCAACCTTCGTTCTCCACACCAAGTGTGAAACACCTTCCACTTGAGGCCATATAATCTCCTGGTAGATGGGGCCCTAGAGCTAAGTATGGTTTCAACCACCTCAGCTGATAAGCCAGCATTTAGGTACTGAACCCCCTCAGAGGCCAGACCCACAGCTTCCACAACTCTGGGCGAGGGTGGAAGATTGTGCCCTCCGCCTGAGACAATAGATCCCTCCTCAGAGGAATCGGCCATGGCGGAGCTATGAGGAGTGATATTATATCCGAGAACCATACTCGTGTCGGCCATCTCGGGGCAACCAGAAGTAGACTGATGCCCTCTTGACGGACCCTCTCCAGGACCCCTGGGAGCAGAGCGATCGGGGGGAAAGCATACAGGCGAAGCCTCGGCCAAGCCTGTACCATGGCATCCAACCCCAGTGGGGCTGGATGTGAGAGGGAGAACCAAAGTGGACAGTGGGACGTCTCTCGAGACGCAAACAGATCCACTTCCATCGGTCCGAACCTCTCCCATATCGACTTCACCACATCCGGATGAAGTCTCCATTCCCCGGGCCTCAGCCCCTGCCTCGACAGGATGTCTGCTCCCCGATTCTGAACCCCTGGGATATACATTGCCCTTATTGACAATATCTTTCCCTGGGACCAAAGGATAATCTGATGCGCCAGTTTGCACAGAGGGCGCGATCTGAGTCCCCCCTGTCGGTTCAGATAGGCCACCACTGATGTATTGTCTGTCCGTATAAGGACGTGGCGACCCTCGATGTCTGGGAGGAAGCTCCTCAAAGCCTTGAATACCGCCATCATCTCCAGGCAATTTATATGCCAAGTGCGATGATGGTCCTGCCACAGACCCCTGGTAAAGCGGCCGTCCATGACCGCGCCCCAGCCCGTAAGGGAGGCGTCTGTCGAAACGGTTTCCCGGCGACATGACACCCCCAACACTGGCCCTTGGGATAGGAACCAAGGCTTCTTCCATATTTGCAGAGACTGAAGGCACTTGCGCGTTACTCTGATCATACGGAACGGATTTCCTTTGGGTGAGAACCCCTTGGTCTTCAACCACCACTGGAGGGGCCTCATGTGAAGGAGGCCCAGAGGAATAATGTTGGATGCCGCTGCCATGAGGCCCAGCATCCTTTGAAAGTGTTTCACAGTGACGGCCTGACCTAGCCTCACCCTGGACACCATCGCCAGAATTGACTCGATACGTGCGGGAGACATACGTGCCTGCATTGTAATCGAGTTCCACACGACTCCCAAAAAGGTCGTGCCCTGGGACGGTTCTAGCACACTCTTCTTCAAATTGAGTCTTAACCCCAATTTTTGAATATGGCCAAGAACGACATCTCGATGCCGAACTGCCATCTCCCGAGACTGGGCCAAAATAAGCCAGTCGTCGAGATAATTCAATACGCGAATCCCCTGAAGTCTCAGTGGAGCAAGGGCCACGTCCATACACTTGGTAAATGTGCGGGGAGAGAGTGCTAGGCCGAACGGAAGAACCCGATATTGGTATGCTTCGCCCCCGAAAGCGAACCTCAGGTATCTCCTGTGACAAGGAAGGATGGAGATGTGACAATAGGCGTCTTTCAGATCTATCGTGACAAACCAGTCCTCGGATCTGATTTGACTCACGATTGTTGGAATGGTCAACATTCTGAATTTGAACCTTCTCAGAGACCGGTTCAACACCCTGAGATCCAAAATTGGCCTTAACCCCCCATCCTTCTTTGGAACTATAAAGTACCGGCTGTAAAACCCGGACTCCCTGTCTACCGGAAGAACACGTTCTATGGCTCCTTTCGACAGCAGAGTCTGTACTTCTTGTTCCAACACCTGAGCCTGCTCTGGGACCACCGCAGTGAGCACCACCCCAGAGAACTTGGGGGGGCGGTGCGCGAACTGCAGTCTGTACCCAACTCGTATTATCTGCAGGACCCATGGAGATATGTTGGGAAGATGATACCATCCCTCTACAAAATCTGCTAAGGGTACCAGCCTCTCGAGGCTGGCCTCTGGTGTCTTTTCGCTGGAAATTGATGCGGCCCGAAGCGCTGTTAACGGCGGACCTGCATCTTTTCCTAGAGGGCCCCGTTGTGAGAACAACCTCGGTTGTCTCACTGCGGAGGGGGCAGCCCTCTGAAGTCCTGCCTTGGCTAGGACCTCTTTTCCGAAGTCCTCTTAGCCTGAATGACGTCCCTCAGGTCGCCCCTCTGGCTGGAGGACTTCGGTTTTTGGGAGCGTTTCCTCTGTTGCCAAGACCCCGGAGGGGGGGCTCTAGAGGAAACGCTCTCCTTCTGCTCTGCCCTGTGGGAGGAGCTGGCTGATGGCTGGGGCTGATTGCTTTGCCCCCCCCTACTAGATTTGGCCTTCGCTTTCCGGGGGAGGTACTGCTGGAACGCCGCAGATTGTTTTCTCGACTCCTGAAACCTGTCGACAACCGAATTAACGGCGTCGCCGAACAGGCCAGAAGCCGAAAGCGGCGCATCCAGCAGGAAGGACCTATCCTTTTCTTTAATACCGGATAAGTTCAGCCACAGATGCCTCTCCGTGGCCACCATGGCCGCCATAGAGCGGCCAATAGCGCTGGCCGCTTCCCTAGTGGCCCGGAGAGACAAATCTGCGGCCTTCCTCAACTCCGCGACATCTTCAGGAGTAGGCCCCTCCCCCTCATCCAAATCTTTCAGGAGGTCGGCCTGGTATGCCTGCAAAATCGCCATTGAGTGCAGACACGAACCAGCCCGACCCGCCGCCATGTAAGCCCTGCCCACCAATGCAGATGTCTCTCTGCAGGGCTTACTAGGCAACACCGGGGTCTTTAGGGAAGACGCCGATTCGGGAGAGAGATAGCTCGCTAAAGCCTCCTCCACCTTCGGCATCTTCCCATATCCCATATCTCGAGCCCCCATAACATTGCTGTAATCTATTACATTGGGACTCGAAATACGGGACGAATGCGGCCTTTCCCACGTTCTCGAGATCTCTTTATGGAGATCAGGGAAAAACGGCAGACCCCGGCGGTGAGGCTGTGACCTGCGCTGCAGGTAACGCTCGTCCATTTTACTGGTGACTTGCGTTTCCTGCTCATGTTGTGGCCAGCTGATGTTTAGTCTGGCCACAGCGCGTGTCACAACCTCCACCAGCTCCTCATAACCCAGGCCGCGTGATGGCGTGCTGAGATCACGGTCGTCCGCATCGATGCTGAGCACGTCCCCTTCCTCAGAAGTAGACAGCTCAAGCACCGGGACCTGATCGCGGGTAGGAGAAACCGCAGCGCGGGCTCCCACACCACTCTCAGAGGCTGCGGGACCAGCCGATGGCGAGCGAGAAAATGCCTCAGCATTCTCACTCTCCTCCGCCAGATCCCGCTGCGAACCCCAGGATCTCAGTCGCCGCATCGCCTCGACATATGCGGGACCGGAACCCTGGGGAACGCGAGCCTGACCGTGCTCGTCAAAGCACGCCAGCCGGGAGCGCAGCACTCTAATAGGCAAAGCCTCACACATTTCACAAGCAGCCCCCTCGAGAGCTGCCCGTGCGTGCTGCACTCCCAAACAATACACACATAGAGAGTGTGCGTCCCCACCCGTGATGAAACGAGGGCAGGGATGCACACACCTCTTGAATTGTTCACTGGCCATACTTTCTTTCAATAATAAGACAAACAACACCAAATAAGACAGACAGTTTCAACATAAAGCGCTTGCTGAAGAGCGAAAGCTAGTGTGTGTTGTGACAGCGTCACTTTTATACTTCCGGGTATGCCGTCACATGTTACGTCACGACGCAACACCAATCAGGATTGGATTAGTTTCATTCATACTTCAGAGGCGCACGCTTAGGGAGCGTCCCCAAAGAGTCGATTTTATCGACGCAGTGTTGAGTTCCCTCGATAGGGAACCGCGTTTAGGCCGAGTCAGACTTCCACCGAGAAAAAAGATAAATATGGAAAACTGGGTCAGGAAGATTCAAGTGATAGTTCGAGTACGGGCTATAGCGAGGATGAAATGTTACCTAAACGAAAGAAAGTTAATTACAAGCGATCAAAGAGCCAATCGTGTGAGGGGCGAAGTGGCTCGGTACAAAGGGACCATGAAAACCTCGGGGGTAGAACATTTCTAACCTGCCCGGGCTTAGTGTTCGATCCGCAGGACCCACAGTGGGCATCGCTTACAGAGGTGCAGCAAAAAATAGTCAAACTGGCCGTAGGACCAACCCCAGATGAAATCTTGGACATGCCAGGAACTAGTTCCAAGGCGAAAATAGACATGCTGGCAGAACAATTAAATTGTATGCAAGAGGCATTATGTTACGTGTTATTAGATGAAAATGAAAAAGAAGAACACGAACCGACAATTAATGACATAAAAAAAATGAGAAAGGCAATGTAGGGAGCCAGCACCTAATAGAAGTAAAGCTCAGAGAAGCAAGGAAAAAGCACAACAGAGAGATTGCTCCACTAAAATAGTTGCCAGGGAAAGCTTCGAAAAATCCCGTGGTAGGGAAACACATAGGCAAGTTGTAAAATATGAAGAGGAATCTTCAGACTCGCAGTCCGAGTATGACTATTTGACCTCTGACACGGAGGGGGATTGCGGGGGTGAAGAAAAGTTATTGCCCTTGAAACAAGAAGTAGATTTATCTCTCACCGCGGCTCTGGCAAGACAAAGAAGGGAAAAGAGGAAGTCAGATAGAAATGAGGAAGACGTTAGTCTGAAGCCTAGGCGGGGACCGTCGAGACAAGCCAAGGGCGATAGAGTTTCTGCAATCCAGTTATTGCAAAACATGTGATTTCAAGGGGTAAAAGATAACATGAAAAAGGCGAAAATGGTAGCAGATTTAGGAAAAATGCTAAATGCACCTACCGGCCTAATAGAGCAAAAGGATTCGACATTATACAGGGATAGTGTTGAAATTACAAGCTATAGAATCACATTACGTTCATGTGATAGGGAAAGATAACAAAGCAGAATTAAGAGAGGAGTTAGAGGTGTTAAGAACCACAGGACTGTGGGCTTATCGCTCTGAAAAAGCTGACAAAGGGTGGACTGAAACCAAAGTGTTAGCACCATTGAAAAAGCTGGCCGCAGAATTGCCGGGGAGTAAAGAAATAGCTCGTCGAGGGTCAGAAACTGATTGGCCTGAAATGTCCAAATTCGCAGTAAGGTATGGCAGAAATACTGAACAAATAAGGGAAGAGATCATACCCAAGCAGGAGTAGACTGCAAGAGGGGGACAGGACAAAACCAAAAGCTAGCTTTAAACCAGCGAGAAATAGAATAAATAATGCTGTATGAATAAAGAGAAGCGGAAAAGAACCCTCAAAAAATCCTGTGTATCAGAAACCTAAACAGCATTTCAGACCAGGGCAGAAAAATAACTCTAGAGAAAAGCACAGATAGGAAAACGGAACCAAAAAAGAGGAACTGAAACCAGAGCGAGCTCGAGGAGTCAGATCCAACAAGCCAGCTAGAAAGACTGACAAATAGGACGATAAAGCTCCAGGAAAAGCGACCATCACCGCCGAGGTCACCCCAATAACCGAATGGCCTCCCGGGGCTGTGAATGTAGATGGGCAGCACAGAGTGTATGGTTTAAGCAATGAAATGAAACCATGATCCAGAGGTAGGGACCGCTGGGAAGGATTACACTGTATAGTGGACAGTTCAAATTTAATGAATGTTATAGATGGCATTTATGTTAAGGAAATGCACGATAAAAATCTTTATAATGATAAACGAATCAGATGGATTAAGGTCAGCCCGGAGTATGAGATAAATAGAGTCGTAAAAAAGACTCTGCCTAAAGATGAATTGAGAGAGTTATTAGAAAAATAAAAGAATAACTGCGCAAAGAGCAATAATGATTGTGGAAAGTTACACAAGAAATATGAGTACACAATATTAGGCGGAATCCCTGCGCCACAGAGACAGTGCCCGCTTAATAGAGCCTTCTACATAGAAATAAGGGTAACTAGAAGAGTTAAAAAAGGAACGAATCACAAGCTTGAGACAGTTGCAGGGCCTGAAGATTACAATTAAAATTTATTAGGTTAAAGGATTAAAAGACTTAAATTAACAGATTAAAATTTTGTGAGAGATTTAATTCCAGGATACAGTGCTAAAGCAAAAATACTGTATAAATCTATGGCAGAAAATGGCTTTAATTAGGATGAGAGACTGGAAAATATCAAATGTGACATAATTGACATGGCCTGAGCTTCGGGGCGGATTGTCAGGAGAAACCCTGATAAAAACCTCAGGGTTAAGATTGACAATAGACCCGAGAAAATGGAATGGATATTATATAACGAAGGGGATTCAAAATCTCCGGTTATGTTCATTACGCACGAGAAACCAGCTAACCATAAGAAGCATGTGAATATGTCACCTGCTGATATTCTAGTCACAATTGCTAAGAATCTGCTCGCCATTAAGGCGTTGGCGGCAGAAAAAACTAATTATTATAGTTGCTAAAGGGGAAGGGATCGACCTCTTAGCGAGGGAAGCAAAAAAACTTGATCAAGGAGAATAAGAATAATACATGTGTTTACTTGGTCAAAGTGGATAAAAATAATCGATGATAAATAATTTGAGCTTGGAAATGAGAGAAGTCCTGAAAGGGGCAAAAAGACCGTGATGGATCCTGAACAGATTTGTTACTTCACTGACGGTAGTTCGGAGAAGGGAGAAACCTGTTAGGGATTTATGGTCGAATTGAAAGGAAGAATTATTCACAAGGAGAAAAGCAGGTTAGAAAATGACAAGAGCGCCCAGGAAGCGGAGGTTAGCTGTTGCAAAGGCAATCATGCACAGGAGGAATAACAACCGTAAAAAATGCATATTAGTCACCGATAGTGAATACGTGTATTTGGGCATTGTTCAAAAACCTGTCCACATGGGAACCGAATAATTTTAATAATGCTAAGGGTAAACCACTGGCACAGGCGGAGTTGTGGAAAATAATAAGTGAATGTGCCAAGGTGGTACAACCGAGAGTGTTGCACCAGTCCAGTCATACGGTCCAGAAAACTCCAGCAGCTGTAGGAAACAGGGAAGTGGATCAGTATGTGCGCGTGAGGGCAATTATTAAAGAGAGTGAGGGGAACCTGCTCCAAGAGCTACACGATAAGCTTAATCATCCGTCCACGACGTATGTTGCAAAATATTGTGGGCAGCTAGGGCTGCATTTATAAAATGTAAAGACCACATGGAAATGCATGGAAATTTATCAGAAAATTAAACTAAAGTGTCCTGATGGCAGGAAGGTGATGTCTAGTGTACATCAGGATTTTGGACATATGAAAAATGTAAGGGAACATGAAGAAATGGGTGCAGATTTTGCCGGACCATTGTTACCTAAAACTAAAAAGAGGAATGTCCACTTCTTAGTGTTAATGGTCAATTGTACCAAATTTCAAACAAACATATCCATTTATCCGTGTCCACAGGCGAACAGCGCGGTAGTTGATAATAGCCTTAAAGAGGGGATTAAATATCGGGGGAAGCCCGCGAGAGTCCGTGGGGACAACGCGCATAATTTAACTGGAAGTGAGGTAACAAACATTTTGTAACAAAAATGGATCAACCTTAGTCAAAGCAGTTAAGCGTGGCTGGCATAGCAGAGCATGCCGTTCGTAGTGTGAAAGAATTCTTTGTAAAGAATCAAAGCTTAGGCGAATGGGATTCGATAGTTAATATCTGTACGCTTTATACCGAATTACAGGGTTGATAAACCTAACCAAAAGCCCGAACCAATAAATATAAAGCAAAGAAACGTTTAAGGTAGGAGAGACAGTTTACATCTTACTCAAACGCAAAGACAAGAGGTTTAGGGCTAAAACGGGAACTGAAGATAAGGTAGTTAAGTTAACCTCCAATACCACTGTTCGGCGGGAACCGAACAGGGTTTGGTCAATCAAAAAACTGGTGGGGAGTAAATGATTGTCAATAAGATTATGAATAAAATCATCACAGCAAAAGTATCCTTCCAACAGGGCATAAAGGGTCCAGCGGAAGGCCTATTTGTAAGTGTGTAAAGATTTTAGTGATTCATTCTTAGTTAAAACATGGCATAAAGACTGTCGGGAGGGAACTCCGTCAGTTAGGGAAAAGCCTATTGACTGTGTGTTCTGTAGCAAACAGGAAGTTTGCAGCCTGCTCTGGGAGGGGCCGAGAGAGATACGGGAAAGTCAGGCGTGGCTGAGAGCTCAGCTGACAATTTTGCCCAAATGGTTCCGCACAGATAGGTCCATGGGGGCCTGTGCGATGGGAGACGTTACTGTATGCGGAAGCTGTCGAACGCAAAGGCAGCTATGAAGTGTATGGCAGTATGAACTGGCCATAGGTACTGGTGGATGTTAGACCTGTACCGACTGTAGATTGAAGCACAATCTACGAGGTCAAGAATGTAAGTGTACATTAAATGACCTAGGTGAGCTTGCGAGATGTGAGAGATGCAAGCTGCTGCTTAAGAAACGATGGTTACAGGTAACCAGTTTCAAGGGTGTCTGGCAAACTAGAAAGAGCGAAACAAGCTTAGGATGTTTAGCCAAGGACATAATCATGACGGAATGGGACGTGAATCCGCTGGCCTTAGCCAATAACACAGAGAAAGCCTTCTTGTGGGAAAGATTGCTGTGTTCGGGGGGACCGGTTCTAAGGGATTCAGATCCGTTAGTGAAAGGTGGGGTGTTAGATAAAACACTGGCCAGAGACAGTGACCTAGACCTCTGGAAGAAGGTCGAAAGGGACCCACTGTAAGAGAAGGAGCACTTGATTAGTTATAAAATCAAGGGGGTATATAAAGAAGCAAGAATGCATGATATGATGACTAACTTGTTGGAGGAAATGTCTTTTCAGGAAGAATATCCAATTTACGTATATGCCCAGAGAATATAGCCTTTATGTCAGGGAAACTTCTCTGACTGTAAGAGCTAGATTACAACAGACTTTTGTAGGGACAGAGAGAGTGAAAGTTTAAATTGGCCCGGACAACAGAAGTGAACTATTAGAGTTGAGCCGGATACTCGGCTGAAACGAGTATCCGGTACGGATAAAGCACTTTTGTCGAGTACAAATATTATACGAGTAATACAAGTCAATATCTGTGCTCGGATAAAAAAAAGAAAAAAAAAAGTAATGTTGAAATTAGGGCTGAGCGATATATCAATATAAAGAATATATATTTTGAATGTGATATGTAATTAGAGTTTGCGCTGCACGCCTTGCTCCAAGCAAGCTGCTTAGTGCTGACCCAGAGCTCTCTGCACTGCTCCCCGCGCCCCAGTCACTCCTTTTCCACTTTGCGTGCTTGATTAAAGCATGTTATGTTATAACATGAAATAAAGTCTTTCACCTCAGCAAAACGGACTTTGTCCTGTCAGCCGTTATACTGTAACGTTAGTCGTAGCGCACACTCAATTGCACGCGCAAATGCGGCGGCGCGCGCTGGATCGCCTCACTGTATATAAAGTGCAAAAGAAACAACGCATGCAACACTGTTGCGTTGTAAATAACACGAAATAAAAACAAAGCAGGTATGATTTTAATTCTATTCACCAGGAGCAGTTTCAATGTTTCATTAACAGTATTGTCTATTCACCAAGGTAACTGTCATGTCTATATTAACCCCTTAATGCCCTATTTTTCTTTGTGTTATTTTTTATATTTTTTAAATGAATGTAATGGCTCATACCAACGTTGTATTGACAAAATAAATAAACCAATTAATAAATCACAATTACAATTCCAAGGGAATAATCTGCAATTAAGATTTTTGTCATAATCATGCAGGTGAAGAAACCTGTTAATTATTTATTCATTTGATTTTGCAAATGTTCATGTTTCAATAAAACTACTTGTGACATGTCATATTTGGCTTTGACTGAACATTTGCTCTCACTTTGCAGAAAAAATATCGGGATATATTTTGTATATTGAAATTCAGCCTAAATATATTGGGATATGACTATTGGTCCATATCACCCAGCCCTAGTTGAGATGAAAACTCTTGTTCGTTACATTTTACTTCATATTTGCAACCACATTGTATTCATTGTTGCAAAACTTGTTCTGTAGTTCGTTGTTATCGTGATCAAAACCATTGATCTGAAGCTCAATGCTGATGCTGTCATGTAAATAGTTTTCTTATCAGCAATAAATATAACAATTTCTGATCAACCCATATCAATTGCATGCTTAAAATAACATACCGGTTAAAGCCCCGCCCATTTCAAGACTACCCGACCCACTTCCGGGTTTAGGCCCCGCCCAGTCCGAGTACAGATACAGATACAGATAATTCATATGGTTATACAGATACAGATACAGATACAGATAATGCTGTACTCGCTCATCCCTATGAACTATGGCAGTTCCAGGTCCATTTGACAACTACATCGACTTTCTCGGAGTAGGAAAGTCAATAGAAGGGGTCAAACTTATCAGATCAAGCATAACAAAGCCCAGCTCACTGAGCAGAATGACAATCTGGATCAGGCAAAGGCTAGGGAAAGTTTAGGTTGATATATGTCTCTGTGTCTGTTGTGTGTTTTACAGAAGCAGGATGGCGAAACAGCGGATACATCTGGAGAGGAAGTATCTAAAGCTGCGGAGGAAGCAAAGCAGTTTGAGAATCGGCCTGTTGTCAGCGCTGACTATGCGGGGAATAGCATTGTTAATATTGGGTCTTGGATTATCAGGAGATAACGAGACAGAAGTGGTTAGCGTATCCTCCTGCTCTGTGGTTGAGAAATTAGTGTTAAAAATATGCTATAAGCAAACAGCGAATATTGGTGGGGTGAAATATGGCTCGAAAATGATGAGGGACATGTTTAAAGGAATGATAGAAAATATAGATAAATCATTTTGGAACTGTACAGGGGCTCGGAAAATAAGTGCTACGAAGGGGCCAGCTCTTTACGGGGGTAAAGTAATTAAGAATACCAGGTTGAGATGGAATATTCTTGACGGTCATAATCAGACGCACGTAAAGCTAAGGGGCCTACAGTACAATCTCACGGATATCACTAATTTGACGTTTAGTAAGCATGTGTACAAAATATGGAATAGTCCTGTTCTCCAGATAACTGGGGTGCAGCATTGGGATTGTCTGACCAAGGAAATTGTTACGGAGCATAGTAATAAATGGTTGGGTAAAACTGTTGAGGATCAGTCGATAGAGATTGAAATTGATAAAGTTCCAGCAGATAAAAGACGTAGCGGTAGATCTGCCCCAGAGGGGGCGAATTATCGGATCACGGACCAAACATGGAATAATGAAGATAATTCAGACCCAGTGCAGCAAAGTTATTGGCCCAAGGGTCTAAATCCGCACGTTTTAATTGTCGGAGTTTATAAAAATAAACCTAAGCCGGCCTATGTTGAGTTAAATTGGGTAACGTGCGAACATTTGGTCATGCCTATTGGGATGTGTGAGAGGCGCAGTAAGTGCCCGTTGTTGACCAAGAACAAATTTGTAAGTAGTAAACCGGAAAATCAGTTTTGGTACAACATTGACCAGCATTGCAGAACTGATTATGGTAAGACGACCGCATGGGTGTGTTATCTGAATAGCACCTCTAAATGGGACTATAAGGAATTCGAAAAGCACGGTTAATGATATTATTAACCTGTGGCATGATTGGATGTTGTTGCAGGATCCGAGTAATGACATGGTGAAGAGGGAGAGTAGGCGCGATACGTGGACGATCAACGCCACCTTGTGGGCGAATGGGGTAGGGGAAAGAGATTGCATCCCCTGACCTTAGATTATGCGCCCAGACCAGGTCTGTCGATAGAACTGGCAAATTACTCGGGCATTATGGACTATATCTTGAGTAATGTGACTAACCAGCAATACAGGTCCGCTCTTGCCCTGTACTGTATGGGTTGGGACGGCGTTCATCGGAGTACCCATACAAATCAAGGTATTTGGGCGAACCATAGTGATGCTGCTAACAAGGGGACTTTAAGATGGATTGGACTTTCTAACCTTATGTATAGGGTGTGGGATGTTTTTCCAGTGGTAATGGGGCTGGATAAGACGACGACGCGTACTGTAAGCTGGAGGTCGTTCCATAATCATCCGGCTAATAAGAGTATATTCCCGATCGTGTGGACAATATGGAATAAAACCGTAGGGTTGCAAACCAGAACGTTGGCGCATGGGTTTTGGAGTAGTAAATATTATTTGCCGATGTTGAAACCTTCGGAAAGGCGCGGTGCGACGAATACTGACTATAAAATTCTGATGGCCTCGCCCAAATTTGATATCAAAGACAGTGGCTCATTCTCGAGACATAGTCTGAGGCCTGAGGACCATGACCGTGATGAGGTAAAGAAACGGTCAAATGTCTGGAACATGGGTTTGGGAAAATTTGTGTACAGGCATTGGGATGAGGTTAAGTATTTGTGGATACCCGCGAAAGAGCAATATTGTGACATGGAAATGTTTAATTCCTGGAAAATTAAAACCCCAGGAAATATATTTAGTCCTAACATTACGTGGATGCATGGAGATGAACATGTTTTTTTGTACTTTCAAAAATTTCAAAGTGATTGGCGCAGATCGGGTTGGTAGTGTAAGTGGGGCGGTTGATATAAGCTCGATAACCGGTGCAGCTCCCTTTATGATGATTGCGCGTAATCAGATAATGAAAAAATGCGCTGTCTCCGCTCTATTGAATAGCGCCGAAGAGTCACGTAGTTTTTATGACCCGATAGACGATTATCTGGAGGGCCTGTCCATGGGGCCAGGGTTTCTGTTTTTTTTTGGGACTTTGAGTCTCAATTGATTAAGCCAAATAGGGGCGATATTTTTACCGTATATTGGAAAGTGCAGAAAAAGGCTATTCTATGGGTGTTGGATAACGTTAAAGAACTCGCTGTCTCCGTGTGGGACCTAATAGTGCAATCTTGGTTTCACGTTAAGATTGCCATAATCTGCCTGGCTATTGTTATAGGAATAATAGTCATGGTGGTCCTGTTCGTTAAACTTTCGAAATTGGGGCTGGTCTGCAGGAAACTGTCGAAATTGCCTGACTCGGCAAAGGACACAGAGGCCCTAGTTCCTCTTGTGACCAAATAGGGGACGGAAGTGCAGGCCTAGCGGGGACAGGGATTGAGAAGTGTCTAAATGAGCGGACAAGGTTACGGATCATTCAGTTGCTTTTTGGTGGCGGACAAGGAGGCTATCTTCACTCTCTCTAAACTTTCTTCTATTCGCAACAGCAGCAGTAGACTCAATGGCAGGCAATTACAGCAATACTACAAGGCATTGCATTGACAGACCAAAAGAAATTGTGAGTATAGTTTCTATAAATTTATGGTTGATTGTATATTGGATATCTGGAATATTAAGTCAAAGAATGCCGGAGCAAGTAGTATTGATGTTTTTGAGCCTTGGCCTTTATAACTTTTTGGACGATATTTCATTAGTGCTAATTCTAGTGTCTCAGCTGCTGAGAAGTGCGAGATATGTTAAATTGTTTGGGAAAAAGGGAATTGTTGCAGTTATGGTTTTTTCCATAGCTATAACTGTGTACAATTTCACGAAATGCTACGTTGAATTAATTTGGGTTAAATACGTAGGTGTGGGGCTTGCGCTCATCACATACGTATTTTTGATTATCTTAAGCTATAGAAGAAATACTGTTTTAAAGCCTTTGGTGAAAAAATTGGCTGTTCTTTATTTCTTGGTTTTTACTGATTGCTGGCAGTTCAAGACAAGTGAACGAGCCAAAGCTGTTCATGTTAGCCATTCTGATGGGCATTAATGATTATAGCTATATGTGGAAAATGATTGACAATTGTCGAACTGATTGCATTATTTGTGGATGAAAACAAAAGAAAAAAAAAAAAAACACGAAAAAACGAACCTGAATAACTTTGACAGTGCCGAGAAAAAAAAAAAGGGCACGTGCTGGTTGTTATTCTTTTATTTTGTTTGTTTTGTTTGTGTCACAAATTGTTTTTATGTTGATTTTTGGTTTCAATAATTTTGGAAATATTTTGATCAATAGAACAGTGACGGGAAGAAAAAAAAAAAAAAAAAAAAACCCGATTATTGTCACTGACGGAACATGTTAAGTTCGCCAATTTGTTGAGTTTACAAATTGTTTTCTAAAAAGGTCTGGATTTAGTTTGTTTCTTTCGAAATGAAAAGCAATTTTGTTTTGTTAACAATGTTTTCATTTTCTTTTGAACTACATCATTTCATGTTTGTTTCTTTCGAAATGAAAAGCAATTTTGTTTTATTAACAATGTTTTCATTTTCTTTTGAACTACATCATTTCATGTATAAGTAGGGTGATGCATTTGGAAATTTTAATTTATGGTGACCAGTCAAGTCATGGGGTTGCTGCGTTCAGGAAGGGCCCCCTGGGGGGCAGCAACTGACCAATGACAGTTTGATTGGCGGGGTCATTGTTGAAAAGACAAAGAAAGAAGTAACACACTTAGAAAATTCGTTTGGTTTATTTGGGGTTGAAGAAACGAATTTTGTTTTTGTTTTTTGTATAATGTTGGTCCTTTTTGTTTGAACTACCTCATTCATGACATGGTTTATTTACTGTATGTTATCATACTATAGGTCCCTGCTGACTGGAGGAGGGCGACGCAACTTGGGCATTTTTTGATTTGTGAAGAATGTTTTGATGTGTTCAAGAGTTATAGTATGAGAATTGAAGCATATAAACAAGAGTGTAAGGACGTTAGAGTTTATTGTCCAGAATGTGTGATGAAACTGGGTTTTAGCATGAGACAAATGACTCGCATTTGCTTTGACAGGCATGGGACACGGAGTGGAGGTCCGGGCAACACTCATAATTTTACATATGGGGAAATGAGATTTTTCCTTGACATGAAATGGAAAGTCATCGAATTAGATGATGGATTCGAACGTTTGTTTAGTCTGGGGGAGCAAATATTTCAGAATACCTGCTGTGTTAACATTCAGACCTATCCAAGAAGACACAAGGAAGTCCTGGGCTTTTGCACAAGACAGGCGCGTATTAATGGCCAAATTGTCTGTGTGCTTGTCCTTGATCCCAATATAGATCTGCCTGGAGCGTCTGACACAGGTTCGATGGGAACCAAGAGTGCTGAACGAGGGCATAGCAGCCAGGGGAAGCGAACTGGCCTTGGCCCTGGCAGATCTGGTGACAATGGACCAGGCCCCAAGAGAAAAGGACTCATTCCGGTGGATGCCGGTGGACCGGCATTGGTATCGACAAACGATGGGCTGTCTGTTGGCACAGTACGGAAGGCTGATAATTGGCTTCTTCCAAAGAGAGTCTGAGTTAAGATATAGGTTTTATGAGTGTTGTTTGGATTTTGTGGTGCCCACTGTCTATGTTTATAATGTTAAACTTGATGAACTTGATGTCATTTATCCGAGGGATTTTATTAAGCGTGTTTTTGTGACTTCAAGAGGGGGTGTACCGCAGAGTTTAGATTTTAATGAACTTACAAAAACACATATGAATTTATATGCATGTACACATTCAAGAAGGACCAGAGAACCCAAGACTCGGAAGGGGAGAAAGAATGCACACGCAATGCCTGCTCAGCGAATCTTAAAAGAGGAACTAAGAGTCGCATGACTATTGTGTTGCAAGTGTATCCGTTACTATTGTGTTGCAAGTGTATGGAAAAACCCAGATGGTCTGAGAGATTGTGTCACACAGCCAGTATAAATAAGGCTGCGTTTTCAGTGTTAGTTGTTGCATCTTGCTAGAAGATTTTTGCGTGCATCCCTGAAGGTAATCATTCTTCAGTCCAGCTTGCTGGAACATATATTGCTTTAACTGCTTAGCTGTATGATGTTAACTTAACCTGCTCATAGAAGGACAAGGTTAGTTATTCATTTAATACTTGAACTGTGTATGTTAAGAAAAACTTTGTGACTGAACCACTTATACAGGACTGACCTGTTAAGTTGGGAGAAACTGAGGTATTATAATCTGTAACCTTTTCTTTTGTTGCTACTATTAACAATCATTGTGTAACCAGTGTTATTATCGTTTGTATAAATAAATTTTCATTTTATAAAGATAAAAGTTGAATAGTTCTTTGCCTCGGGTCACAATACCAGTTCTATAAGCAATAGTAAGAGCATTAAAGCTACCCTTGCGAGAGCAAGAGGTCACCAGGACTCCACGGAAGCATCTCCACGGAGGGTGAGTATGAATTGCATTGATGGTTGTTGCTAGTAATACTGTATTGGTTCACATGAGTGTAGGGATACACCTAGATTCACTGGTATAGGTTAAATGAGCTATAGGGAACGTTTATCCAGAAATTCTGACCTGACAGCAAAAGGCACCTGGCCACTTCGATACCAGGCGCTCTTCAGGGCTGAGGTAATACCAGATCTCACCACACAAGTTAAATTAAATGAAAATATTAAACACTGTCTTGGAAACTAGTGAAATGAAATAAGATTAATGTTATACGCTATGATAAATGTGTTATGCAGGTAAAGAGGACCCAACAGCGAGGTAACAGAAACAGAGTCTTTAATGAAACGTGAACCCAGGATAGACACAGTGAGGCAGACTGATCTTCTTATTAATTAACAATGAGGAAATAAACTGCCCGCAGAGCGGGCGCCGAAAC